TAGGACACATTATCTCCTTCTGCAATTGCAATGAACGCTGGAACTCCGGAGCTGGATGAGCAACTTAGGTAGATGTTAATATTTAAATAATTTTGGAAAGTAGTTAATAAAGAACTTTAAATTGTTTCTGATCTATCTATACTTAGTATTTGCATCTAGTGAATGTTAAATTGCCTTCATTCCACAAAAACTTGATCCTGAATAGTGATTTATAGGGTCGGAAATATGAAAGGAAGCCAATAAATTGTTTGCCTTCCATGACAACAGTTTCTTAAAAAAAAAAAAAAAAAAGTAAATTATCACTCAATGTCTATCAAAAATCCTCTAAATGAATGCGTTAGTGGAGTGAGAAATTAGAAAACTTATTTTCTAATTATGTTTTACTGTAAAATATTGACCTGACTCACTGTTTTAATATTAATATTTTAAATTTATGTATAAATCATGTGATTTAATTTTTATTTAAAAATTAATCAAAGATTTTTGTGTGCAACAAATATATAGAATACAAATGTGAAATTTAATTTTAGTTAGTAACAGATATTTGTGTTTTTAAGTTTGCAAACAAAGAATTAAATTCCAAGAGGAAGTGGCTATGCATAATTGCAAAAGATATCTCACATACAGTAAGCTAAAAGCAAACATTTAATTGAGCCTTTGAAAGGAAATAGACTCTATTGCTTGCTAACAATACTAGTAAACTTGTATTGCATCAACTTAAGAATAAATAATATAAAGTGAGAAATCAGTAGACTTTTGATATTAAAAAATACATTAATGCCTCATTCAAGAAAGATGATGATTTTCAAAACTAAACTATTCCTGGTTTGAGATCTAATTAAATTTAATACTTTCATTATCAAAGTCCATGCTAAAATGCCCTATCCCCTTTTTTAGTTTAGTTTTGTGGCTGGTTTATAGACTATTCAAACTCTTCACTTATAATGGTCAGACTAGCATATTATATTGAAATCCACATGTAAAAATTTTAAGCTTATTTTTTTGTAATTATGAAATTATTTAGGCTTTTCCTAATATATATATATAACCTATTAGTAATCAATTAATTTCTAAAACTAATTTTAAATAGCTAATTTAGTAATAAGCTAACTTGAAGATGATGTATAGATTGCTTTCCTTCATAAACCTTACCCTGTCAAACAAGTTGAGGGCAAAAATAAAAATATTGAAAGTTCTTCCGGAGATGAATTAATCCATGAAGCGTGTAACTACATCTCTTATTTCCTCATGGTATTTATTTTTACTTTGGAAAAAGACTGAAAACTATATCAATTAGCCATACCTTAGTGATCACTAATTAATATTACTAATTACAGAAAAATATAACAATTATTTCAAATAGTTATAGATTATAAATAAATTTAATTTGAAACTATTATTTAATCATGCATTGTTTAGCAGAAATCTATTTCATTGCAATCTTCCTGGAAATTATAGCCTTAAATTGTTTGTTAGTTTGCCAATAACCTTTTAACCTTTCATTTTATAAGTAACTTTTTTAAAATTAAATTTTGCTCTTATTTGAAAATCATTTGTATGTCTGCTTGGTTTATATCCTATTGCCCTAACACAACATATTTCTCTAGAGCAGTGGTTCTCAACCTGTGGGTCGCAAACGTCAGAAAACACATGTAGCATATCAGATACTTACATTACGATTCATAACAGTAGCAAAATTACAGTTATGAAGTAGCAATGAAAATAATTTTATGGTTGGGGGTCACCACAGCATGAGGAACTGTATTAAAGGGTCGCGGCATTAGGAAGGTTGAGAACCACTGCTCTAGAGAGTATGTAATACTTTTTGAGAAAATGAAAAGATGAAAGAGAACTGTTTATTCCTCAGATATCTGATAAGAATAAGATTTATTCAAAAATATTGATGGTGGGCTTTAGATTAATAGTATTCTTCTTCAACAGATGACTTATTCTCCATATGGCAATGATGTGATTTAAATACTCCAGAATATCATTGTAGTACTCAAATAACTGCATAGTAGGTATTGGCTTGTTTGTTTCATTTTTTGAAACATGATTATTGAGCCATCACATATATTTTTAATATGTTTTTATTGATTTCAGAGAGGAAAGGAGGGAGAGAGAGAAAGAAACATCAGTAATGAAGAAGAATCATTGATTGACTGCCTCCTGCACGTTCTCTACTGGGGATTGCACCCACAACCTGGGCATGTGCCCTTCACCAGAATCGAACCCGGGACCCTTCAGTCAGCAGGCCGAGGCTCTATCCACTGAGCCAAACTGGCTAGGGCAAGCCATTATATTTTTAATAAGCAAACCAAAGTATTAGATTCTTAGACCTCTCTTCTCTTTTCCCACTAAAAGACTATCCCAAACCTTCAGGTTCCTTCTCTAGCCTCTTTGTGCTCTCTTCCTGCAGCTGCCAGGCCACCTGCTTCAGAGTCCATCACTTTGCCACGGTTCTCCTCCCATTTCCCATCCTCATGCCAGCCTCCCTGTATAACCCTAATATTTCTATACTAAGATGTGGTATAATGAGATTTAAGAATAATTAAAAGTGACACATTTTAGGATGTGGGGTAATGCTAATAGTTTACATATTTAAGCTCATATTTAAGCTCTATAAACCTGGGTCAAGTTTCATCATGGCCTCTTGCTAACACCCAACTGCTGGCAATTTTATTTCCTATTATATCCTTCATATCCTGGAATTGTTCCACAGCCATCTTGCAGTTTAGATCACATACATTTCTCATGAACTAGTGTGTTAGCTTTGAAAATTGTCTCCCTGTCTGACTTCTGCACTGATGACAGAATTATGGTCCCCCAATATGTTCAGAAAATAAAAGCAGATTTTAGCAGAGCACACATGATCTTTCACAATCTTTATTTCTCTAGCCTTACCTTTCATCTCTTGCTTCTCTGATCCATGCCCCAGTGCACTTCACTGTAAAGCTTGTGGACACAATGTTCTTCCATCTGTCTTGAAAACTTCCTACCTCTACCCCATTTTTAACTAACTGTCTTAGTCATTTTCATCTCAAATTCATCTCCTCTTTGAAGCATCCCAGTTCCCTTTATTCCTACCCCAACAAATATTTCAGGTTTTAATAATTGATTCCTTGACAGTTTTTATTATTTAATCATTTTTGTGTTCCTATCTCCTGGAACTTAGAAGGAATTTAAAAGCAATAATAAAAACAATTAGAGTATTAATTAGTTGAAATGGCACTATGAAAAGGTGAAAGATTATAAATTATCCTTCCTTACAGCATTTGTACTACTAAAATTACCCCTGCTTTGGACCATTGATTAACTAGTAATTAGTTGAAATGGCACTATGAAAAGGTGAAATATTATAAATTATCCTTCCTTTCAGCATTTGTATTATTAAAATTACCCCTGCTGTTGGACCATTGATTAACTAATCAGGAAATGAACAAAAGAAATACCGCACCCGGACTTTAAGTTAAAAACAAAGTATTTGCCTACAGTGAAAGAAAATATAGATATTTCATGCTACAAATATTTAAATAGGATCTGCACTGACTCGTTGTGTGTTTGCACATCTACATTTTCATTGACACAGTT